TTCCTTCCTGCCTCCACACATCTTCAATTCCCCATGCCCCTGCTCCCACTGCCTTCATAGATGCTCGAGCAGAGGTGACGGTCCTGGGCATGTACCACACATCGCAAGCCTGACAAAGAAGCAGATGCAGAGCCTCTACACCGATCCACACATCTGCTCTGCTCCTCTCCCTCATCATCCTCTTGCCCTTCCCCTCCCTCCCCTCCTCCCTCCCTCCCTCCCTGTTTGTGTCTCTTTTTCTCCCGCAAGCCCAGCGTCCTCGCCCAGCCTTGGCCTCTCCCGCAGCAGATCGACGACGAGCCTCTCGACCCCTCCCTTGTAGCAGCCTGCAGCAGTACAAGCAAGCGACGCTCGCCCTCTATGCCCAGCCCTTCCTCACCCAGCAAGCTCCCTCCCGCCCGTGCTCTCGGCTCCCTCAGGCACGCCGTCTTGACGTCCCTGCTTCCCCTCCCTCCGCGCTTCCCTCAGCCCATACCCCAGCTCGTCCAGAGCCTCCCTCCTGGCCAGCCTGCGCCGAGGCAGCACAGCCAGCTGCAAGCGACTCGCCACTGCCCGAAGCGCGTCGTCATCCCCGAGGTCAGACGAGCAAGCGGCGAGGAGCGGGAGGGGAGACAAGAGGCGTGGACAAAGAGAGGACGAGAGGAGAGGAGCCGGAGAGGAGACACGAGGCCGCACCGACCAGAGCCCTCCTCTCGCCAGGCAAGAGGACGGGCCAGGCCAGGCCAAGCGACAGCCGGGGAGAGCGACAAGCCGAGGGACAAGGGGCGGATGGGGGCAGTGAGAGACAAGGGGGTAGGGGGACGGAGGGACGGCATAAAAGGGGGTGAGGGTATAAAGGCAGGGTACAGAGACAGGCGGGGGGGGAGGGAAGGGGAGGTTCTGTAGCTCCGCTGCTAGGACAGATGGCGTAAGGGCTGAGGGGCTACAGGGGAACCAGCATTTTCTCCCTCCTCCTCCTCTCACAGGTGGGTGCTCACCTCTCCCGCCCTCCTTGTCTCTGGGGGTGGGTCAGGCCTCCCGTCCTCGCCATGTGCCTCCACGAGGCCGACAAGCAAGGCGGAGAGGCGGCGGCGAAGGACAAGCAGGACGGCTTCCTCTAGACCCGGCCTGGAGGGAGGGGGCAAGGAGAGAGGCAGAGGAGGAGGAGCGGCAGGGCGAGGACGACCAGGGGCGACCTAAGCATGCGCATCAAGACGAGCACTCAGAGAGGCCAGGGACCGGCCGGCGGGGAGGAAGAGAGACCGGGGAGGGAGGACAGCGTGGCAGCTTGAGAGACCGAGAAAGCTTGAAGCGAGGGAGGAGGCGAGGCCCTGCGCGAGCGGTTGGAGCGTCGCGACGAGCTTGTAGGTGCGCGAGGAGGAGGAGGAGGAGGAGCGAGAACGGGATGGTATCATCGTATGTATGAAGCCTCGAGCGTGTCACCTCTGAGTCTGGCGCTGCGTGTACTTGACGTGCCTGGCGTGTTGTCGCTGCAGCTGGGTACAGCTGCTCTCAGTCTCCCCTGGGTCCGCCTGCGCCGCGAGCCTGGGCCTCTCCCTCGTTGCCTACGCGTCTGCTCTGCTTGCTGGGGTTGTTGCTTGCTGCGTCGCTGCTTGTCTGCCGTCTGGCTCCTCGTACGACTGTCGCGCGCAGCGGAGCGGGAGGAGCGCGTGAAGCATGACACGATGTGGCCACCGGGGGAGACGGGGGGGCGGGGGAGCTTGCAAGAAGCGCCGAGGAAGGCGGCTCCCTCAGACAAGCACGACATGGGCGAGCGGGTCGGCGAGGAGCAGGAGAAGGGAGAGGAGAGGGGAGGGGGGCAGGGGTCAGAAGGAAGGTCACAAACGAGAGGAGGGAGGGGAGCGACGGCTGCATCAAAGCAGGAGCACAGGGAGGGAGGAGTGCCACGAGCAAGCTGCGGAGTCCCGGCAGGGTCCGAGCAGCAAGAGCCCCTGGCGGGTTGCGACAGTCGACCAGCAGCCCATCCCTTCCTCCTCCCTTCCCCTGCGATTCGAGTCTCCGACCTCCCTCGCTCGTCAACCAGGGGGGTCGTCGCTTCGCTGGGCTGCGGAGCTCCTGCTTCCTCGGCTTGTCGCTTCCCGCGGGTCTGGGCTTGCGCTCCGCCTGCTGGCGGTCCACGTGCAGCTGTGCTCCTGATGCTTGCGAGAGGAGCTCGAGACGCCTGCTGTCCGTCTAGCAGAGGTCGGGCTCCTCCGAGACATCTGTTGGCTTGTCTGTCTTTACTCATGCCTACATGATCACCGTCCCGCTCCTCAGGTCTCTTCCTTCGCTTCGCTTCCTTCCTGCCTCCACACATCCTTCATTCCCCATGCCCCTGCTCCCACTGCCTTCCTAGATGCTCGAGCAGAGGTGACGGTCCTGGGCATGTACCACACATCGCAAGCCTGACAAAGAAGCAGATGCAGAGCCTCTACACCGATCCACACATCTGCTCTGCTCCTCTCCCTCATCATCCTCTTGCCCTTCCCCTCCCTCCCCTCCTCCCTCCCTCCCTCCCTGTTTGTGTCTCTTTTTCTCCCGCAAACCCAGCGTCCTCGCCCAGCCTTGGCCTCTCCCGCAGCAGATCGACGACGAGCCTCTCGACCCCTCCCTTGTAGCAGCCTGCAGCAGTACAAGCAAGCGACGCTCGCCCTCTATGCCCAGCCCTTCCTCACCCAGCAAGCTCCCTCCCGCCCGTGCTCTCGGCTCCCTCAGGCACGCCGTCTTGACGTCCCTGCTTGACTGCTCCCCCCGTATCACATCGGAGCTCTTCCTCCTCCCATGCCGCGTTCCTCCTCCCGCTTCCTCTCCCCTTCTCCTCCCTCCGCGCCTCCCTCAGCCCATACCCCAGCTCGTCCAGAGCCTCCCTCCTGGCCAGCCTGCGCCGAGGGAGCACAGCCAGCTCGCTCAGCTCGCCATGCCTGTCATCATCTCCTCTACTCGCCCTCCTCTACTCGCCCTCGTCTCCCCGTCATCGCAAGCGACTCGCCACTGCCGGAGGGGAGGGATTCGCCACTCCCTCCCCTCCCCTCCCCTCACCTCCCCTCACGTCGCTTCTCCCCTCCACTGCAGTTGTGCTGGCAGGTTTCGGATCCTGTGATGTAGTACCGGTCGGAATCCCAGGATTACCACCGGTGCGGGTGTTTTGTCGGAACGTATCAGCCATGAAAGCGCGTTGATGGCATGCGCTCGCTTGCTGCTCGCGATCCTCGTGGTGACAAGCCCGAAGATAAAGGCGACAAGGGACCTCAAAGATGTACCTCACTCTCACTCTCATGGTCTCATATACCTCACTCTCACTCTCATGGTCTCATGTACCTCACTCTCACTCTCATGGTCTCATGTACCTCACTCGCACTCTCATGGTCTCATGTACCTCACTCGCACTCTCATGGTCTCATGTACCTCACTCTCACTCTCATGGTCTCATGTACCTCACTCTCACTCTCATGGTCTCATGTACCTCACTCTCACTCTCATGGTCTCATGTACCTCACTCTCACTCTCATGGTCTCATGTACCTCACTCTCACTCTCATGGTCTCATGTACCTCACTCTCACTCTCATGGTCTCATGTACCTCACTCTCACCTCTGCTTGCTCTCATGCTCGACTCTTGACAGTTCAACCGGGAGCGGGAGCATCATGCTGCAGTTGTGCCTCAAAGGTTTCGATCGCTGCTGGACTACAGCAGGTGGACCTCCTGGGTCTTGAGCTCTGTCAAGCTTCTGCAGGTTTTACCAGCAACGGAGTCAAAGTCTAGTGCAAACCGACCTCAAGACTTCCCACAGTGACCCCACGCCATCTCCTCGCGGCTACCCCAACTTCCTCCTCCACTGGCATCATAGCTTGAGAGAGAATCCGCGGCTCCTTCACTGTGACGATCAGAATTGTTTCGCCAATGTTGTGATTCAGGCATGTGCCTCGCTCTCAAGCTCGCTCTCGAATCTCATTGCAGGTCATAGGTGCTCGCGCATTCGCCTCCCATCTCCTACTTTTCCCTCACCCGCAGCCACTCCAAGCGCTGCCGACGCCTGGGGGTCTGCGCCCTCTGCTGCCTGGAGGTGAGGGAGAAGTTGAGAGTCGAGTGAGAGTCTCACGCGCAACAAGCTGCAAGTGTCCTCCATGTTCTCTAAGATCGACGATGAATGTTGCGAGCCTGAGCTGCTTGCCAAGGTCTCAGTTCCTCTCTTCTGCTCGTCTCACCGGCACGCAAGGTCAACTTCTCGAGCGCTCAGCCGACTCCTCTCAAGTTCTTCCATCACCTCCTGGCGACGTTGCGACGAGAAGAGACTCTTGTGCACGTGCAGAGTTCATCCCTCCTAGGGTCCATGGCCCGACCTGACCGCCCGATGTGACCCACATGCTGCTGCTACTGCAGGTCGTTTGTGGAAGAAACTTTCGTGGGTCGGCTTCGCTATCAGCTCAAATGTACTGAGTGCCACGAGACGTTTTCACGGAGAGTCAAGTGAGGAGGAGACAAGAGGAGGGAAGTTGTTGACGGACAGCTCAGGTTTCGATACCTCTCTCTCTTCCTCGACTCGGGCATCTTTGACGTCTCCTGCTGCCTCCCTTCCTCATCTCTTTGACAGATTTATAGGTCCAAGACTCGCTTTCCCACATGTTCAGCTCATCTTCGCGCATCTCGGGTCAGTTTGTCTTGCTGCCCCCCCTCCCCTTCGCCCCATTTCTGTATCTCCTTCCCCTTTCTGACCCTCCACTTCCGCTTTCTGACTCCTTTCCTCTCTCCCCGCCCCTTCCTCCCTGCTTCTCCTGCCTTTCCTCAATCTCTCTCCCTTATTCCTCCTCCCTCCACTCCACATGTTTCTCCCTGCTCGTGGTGATCGTCTGCTGCCAGATGCTGCCCTTGCATGTCCGGCCTGCAACTCGACGAACATCATCATGGTCAGCGTATGCTCTCATTCCACTGTCTCAACGAGTCGCAGCGCGTCGACCCTCGGCGATTTCCTCCCATCCTGTGCTTGCATGTGTCGAGATCTGAGTGATTCATCCTCCAACTTTCTTCCCCTCAGCCTCAACAACTCGCAGGACTTTATCTTATGCCCGCGAGCGAAAGTTTGTCATGTTTCCCCAGCTGCTCTCAGTCAACGGAAGCACTCGAGCCGCTGGTCATCTCACTTTCTTGGTATCCTCCATCACCATGTCAACAGGGGGCAGCAACGCGACGTATCAGCTCTACGCAGTCATCGTTCACGACAAGAGCAGGTGGTTAGCCACTCAGACTTCAAGCAAGCTTGACGCTGGACCAGCAAGCACAAGTATGTTGTGTACGTGAAGAACAAATCAAGCAGGTCAGTCAAAGATCCTTGAGGTGATACACCGCTGAGACGCCGCAGCTGGGTTGAGGTAATCTGCGAGACATGCCGACCCGTCAGCGAGAAGCTCGTGATGGCCGTGAAGGCAAACTTGCTCTTCTATAAGAGAGCTGAGACAAGGTGACGAGTCCATTGGAACCCCATGAGGCTAAACGAGTTTATGCTCAACCCTAATGAAAGGAATGTCGCGACGCGTGAGCTTCCTCTGGCTCCTGCTGACTCTTGGGAGGAATGATCTGCAGCCCCGTTAACCCCCTCTGCTCATCACAGCCAAACGCGAACCTCAACGTTGAGCGCGTGGACGCAGGTGGAGCCTGTGCAGACCTCCTGCATCTGAAATACGACAAGTCAACCTCACAAAGCTGCGACAATGACAAAACTCACCCTCGTCTACGTCCACCCAAGTCAGTATTGAGAGCCAAGAAACAAGTCAATGAAGACGCATCGACTGCAGGGAGATCATCTTACATCTTCTTGCGTCATCATAGCGTTGTCTGACAATGGCGCGTTCACGGGGAGCATTGTCCGCAACAATTTAGTCCAAATCATCTGTGAGAAGCACGTTGTCAGAAAAGGAGAGGTAATCGATCCAGGAGAGTCATCTTTCTTTAATCACTTCTGTTCTGAAACTTCCAGTTCCTTTTCACTTTCCCAACCGTCTCCCCTTTCCGTCCCCTCCCTGTCACTGCTCTGTTCCACGCTGCAACCATCATCCATTGAACACAATCAGTATGTCGCTACTCCCGCATGTACTTCTTGCCATGACCCTCGTTTCCCTTTTCTCTCTTTCCTTTCCATTCCCCCTTCCCTTCCCTCTCCTCTCTCTCCCTTCCCTTCCTTCCTTTTTCTCTGCAACATGTTTAACCAACCCTGCCATGCCTCTTCGGTATTCGATGACCCCACCCACTCTACCCGACTAGAACTCGTATATGACCACCCCCCACACGCTCTATACTGCAGAGCCTCGCTCGGATAGAGTCAACTTGCCCGGCGGGGGGGCGGGCCGGGCCGGACCGGAGCCGCTGGCAATGCGGCCCGCCTGCCTGCACTGCAAAATCAAGTTTGCGGCTCAGCGGTACTGGCATATGTGACGGAGCACAAGTTTGTTAGACTTGTACTACGCCAAAGTAATGCAGACATCATATCGACCTCAGCTGCCGCAGTGCAACAAGACAAGAGCCTCGGATAGACTGTATGCTAGTAGGATGTGAAACCCAAGCATCCAGGCATGAGAGGACCTTAGCAAGACGGCTAGGAAGCTACATTGCCGCCTCGAAACACGTCAGGGTCGTCTTGGTTTACAGGAGAGTTTTGTTAACTCGGCGCTATCTGACTGGCACGGCTGGCATGCGATCCGTCCGATCAATATGTCTTGGTTTCAACTATTTTGAAGTCACGTGTTATTAGGCTAGGCCCTATCTTTGTGTGACAGTGGGAGCCTTTCGACATCACTGATGCCGCATGTCAATCATCCCGGCGTCTAACGGCTCATCATGAAGCCTTGCACTGCACGACTCATGACGTAAGCGGGGCGAATGGCAAAGAAGAAAGGAACTGAGGAGTCTTACCCTTCTGCATGAGGGAGGAAGCAGGAGCATAGTTCACCTACGATTTCCCTCACCCTCTAGTGATGCACGTCAGCTCCCCTCACCTTTCCCTTCGCTGTCTCCAGCACCAGCGCCAACCTTGTTGCCTGCAGCTGCCTCTCAGCACTCGCTCGCTACTCAGCCACCCAGTCAACCTGGTCAATCGCTCGCTTGGCATCCAACTCGGCAGCGACTGGGAAGGATCGTGAGCCCTGGGGACCGGAACCGAAGGTCTCACCATCAGCGCCTCCCACCAGGTGAGTTGGAATGCCAGCAGCGGTCAGTTCGTCCTCCAGGTTGCTGCAAGAGCATCTCAGAGACCCCTCGGTAGTGCCAGCCACGTCACCGCAGAGAGACTTGACCGGCACAGACAATGACAGTATCGACGTCTAAGATCTGCACAGAACGTGTGACTGTCACAGGGGCAAGCAGCTTAAGCACCTTCTTCTCGCTTTTTCCGTCCTTCATTTTCATGGTGATGTGCAAACCTGTGTCATCCACCTGACGGCAAGAGGTTCAACGAGCGACAAACGCCGAGCTCGTCACCTTGTCGTAGGCAACTCCTCCAATGAACTGCACGCCTTTGTCTTTCAGCACTTTCCGATGAATCCTGTACGTGGTCATATCATCCAAGAAACAAGGTCGCTACTACTACCATCCAGTCGTCTTCCCCAATCCATCTCCATGCTTGCTGGTCTTTCTCTGTAGCAGATAAACTGCCTGCGTTGCCGTTTGACCATTCACCATGCTGGATTGACTTTCACCTCGCACTCCCCCAGCCCTGGCATCTTCTTCTCGACGCCCTCGACGCCTCCTAGACCAGCACAGTCAAAGCAAGTGATAGTCTACTTTGCTGGCTCCACCTCGGGCCTCGTTGGTGAGATCGATTCCCCATTCTCGCGCAAAGCCCTAGGAAACAGTGAAAAGTCACTGACATGCACGTCAACATGTCTGGCTCGTCACCTCCACACTCAGCGACTCTGAGACATTGCGAGTGATGTATTCTGCAACCTATTGTCGAGTTCAGTCTCAAGTGTTCGCCAAGGGATTGTCTCACATCAAAACCGATCCCTCCTGCACCGATGATCGCAACTTTCTTTCCGACCTGATTCATCGTCATCGAGATGTGCATCATGCGCCGTCAAGCCTTCTACTTTTGCATTCCTTCGTAGCACATCAATGTATGAGATCACTTTGGGATGATCGATTCCTACAAAGTCAGCAGCATCTCAGTCCCTTGGAAGCCTGTCGGTAAACACCTTCAAATTCCGGAACTCTTGGAACAACTCCAGTGGCCAGAACGACCTGATGGACGGCATGTTACAGGAAGCATGTGTCAAATGCACGAATCTTACTGCATCGAACTTCTGGTCGATCACCTCGCTTGCAGTGACTTTGCATCCTAGCTTCAAATGGACTCCAGTAGACTGTGATTGCCCGTCATTCATAGAACTGATCGAAGAACCTTACCTCAATCTTTCGGGTGAAGTAACGAATGGTCTCGTGAAATTCTTCCTTTCCTTCACCGGAGTCAACGGCACAGGGTACAGCTGACTGCATATACCAGGAATCAGCTTTGCCATGTTGAATTGCCCGCCGATCTGGTTGGACTAACACCAATTCGTTACACGCAACATAACAAGACTGTCAAGATTGGAGTCATTACTTGCTCATACAGTGTGACACGATGACCTCGAGCGGCAGCTGTTGTGGCTGCAGCCAACCCTACGCTCACAACAACATCAGCCAACTGCATCGGATGTCTCAGCCCGCACCAGCAGGACCGGCTCCCACAACAGCGACATTCTGTTAAAGCGAGTCAAAATCACTGAAGTGCTCAGCTTGCAATCTAGTACCATCTTTTGCTGAGTTGGAGTGATTGCTATCTCAGTCTGGACGACTCACAAAGTCACGTGCATAAACGTCCAACCTACAAGATCAAGACCTCGTGGCAAGCAAACGGGTTGACCAAACAGGATGCAGTAATTCCTTTGAAGGTGTGATCAAGGCATGCCTGATGAGCAGGAATTATGCACATCATAGGCAAAGACTGTTCAACCTGATTGCATGCGATGCATGTGTTGATTTCATGACTCCTGCCCTACAACACTATCACATCAAATATTCGAAAAACAGGGTTTACCTCTTCCGATTTTAGGACAAAGTAAGGGTCTGCCAAGAACGGACGAGCCATACTTATCATATCAGCATGCGAAGCCTGCAAGACCTGCTCGGCTACTTCTGGGGTGTTGATGCGGTTCGTGGTGATCAAGGGAACTTTGACATGAGGCTTGAGCTTCTTCGTGACCCAACTAAATCCTGCTCGTGGAACACAAGTGGCGATGGTAGGGATCCGCGCTTCATGCCATCCAATTCCAGTATTGATAAGAGTCACACCTGCTTTCTCAAGCTCCTTGGCCAAGTGAACAACCTCCTGCCAGTCAGATCCCTTCTCTACCAGGTCAAGCATACTGAGTCGGAATATGATAATGAAATCTTCTCCAACTTTCTGTCGAATCCTTTTGACAATCTCCAATGGAAACCGAATTCGATTTTCGTAGCTGCCACCCCATTCATCCTTGCGATGATTCACATGCTCTGCAATAAATTGGTTGATAAGGTATCCCTCTGAACCCATAACTTCAACTCCGTCATATCCAGCTTCCCTCGCCAACGAAGCGCATTGTGCATAATCTTCAATGGTTTGAAGGATATCAGCATTACTCAACTCCTTGGGCTTGAAAGGACCGATGGGAGCTTGGATAGCACTCGAGGAGACTGCAAGAGGGTGATAGGCATACCTACCAGCATGCAATATCTGCATGCATATCTTCGTTCCGGTGCCAGCATCATGCACAGCCCTTGTCACTTCCAGGTGAGCCTTGGCATCAGAGGATTTCGTCATCTTAGCAGCAAAAGGTGCGACTCTTCCTGCATTGTTTGGCGCTATGCCGCCAGTGACTATCAAGCCAACCTTCCCTTTCGCGCGTTCCTCGAAGTATTTGGCCAGCTTTGTCATGCTTCCTGACAAGAAATTCCCCTCTTCGAGACCAGTGTGCATACTCCCCATCAATACTCGGTTCCTCAATGTGGTGAAGCCCAGATCAAGCGGAGCAAGCATAGCTGAATACTTCGTCATGATGAAACCTGGCAATATGATCAATTTTGGTGGCAGACTGAGCGGTGATTCTCAAGATAAAATGTTGCTGACAATTCAAGCGAAATTAACTATCTCCTCCCCTCTTGTCTCCTGCCTTCTTCTCCTCTCCTCCCTTCTTCTGCTCTCCTCCCTTCTTCTCCTCTCCTCCCTTCCTCTCCTCTCCTCCCTTCTTCTCCTCTCCTCCCTTCTTCTGCTCTCCTCCCTTCTTCTGCTCTCCTCCCTTCTTCTCCTCTCCTCCCTTCTTCTGCTCTCCTCCCTTCTTCTGCTCTCCTCCCTTCTTCTGCTCTCCTCCCTTCTTCTCCTCTCCTCCCTTCTTCTCCTCTCCTCCCTTCTTCTCCTCTCCTCCCTTCTTCTGCTCTCCTCCCTTCTTCTGCTCTCCTCCCTTCTTCTGCTCTCCTCCCTTCTTCTCCTCTCCTCCCTTCTTCTCCTCTCCTCCCTTCTTCTGCTCTCCTCCCTTCTTCTCCTCTCCTCTTCTCTACTAGAGTTTTGCGTCTCTTGTGAGCGCATAGCGACTGGAGGATAAGATAAAACGATTTTTAAAGGGCCTCCTACTTTAAAAATTTCTAAAACTCTCGGGCACCGGGAACAGTCGCGCCGGGCTGCCCCGCCCGGGCCCGCCGGGCCCTCAGTGTGCCGACGCAGCCTTCAGTTGCGCTTCAGCCTTTCACCGTGGCTCAAAGTTAAGTTAAAATCAGTACGAGGACACTGGCAAGAGGGATGACTCGGAACCCCGGGCCCGGCCGTGACGGTGACCGGTCACTGACCGGGTTGCCACGGAACACTCAGTGAGGCTCGACTCGGCGGCGAGTCGGGAGCCTCAGCCCCGGGACCGCCGGTACTGGGAGTCATGGCCGCGGCCCGGGCCCGGCCGCGCCCGGCGGCGCCGCATACCCCGGGCCCGGATCGGACCCGGCCGGCGCCGGGATAGCGCACCCGACGTCGTACGGTAAGCACACCGTGCCACGGTGAGCGCCACAGCGCCGAGAAACTGCACAAACGGGCCCGGGGCCGTTGAACCGTCGTGTTGAACCGTGACACTGGGCGGGCAGTGTCACGGTCAGCAGACCCGGCACGCGCCAGCCCACGCGCGAAGCCGCGCAGACAAGCGCGCGGCGGCAGGGCCCGGTAACGGAATACATCGACCTTACTTAGTTGTAACAAGACAGTTTTTGCTCAAGACCGAGTTTAATGCACACGAAACCAGAATTGAGGAGCACATGAGAGATAGACTGTATGCTAGGATGTGAACCCAAGCATCCAGACATGAGAGGACCTTAGCAAGACGGCTAGGAAAGCCCCCTCTTCGTCAACACAGCCCGGCCTTGAAACACGTCAGTCGTCTTGGTTTACAGGAGAGTTTTGCTTGGGTCTCACATCCTAGCATACAGTCTATCTCTCATGTGCTCCTCAATTCTGGTTTTGTGTGCATTAAACTCGGTCTTGAGCAAAAACTGTCTTGTTACAACGAAGGTCGATGTGATGTCTGCGTGACTTTGGACTAGTACAAGTCTAACAAACTTGTATTCCGTCAATCGGACAAGCCTGGGAGCCGGCGCTAATCATGTTGATCTTATATTTGGTTAGTTGAATTGTTTACTGGAGTTTTTTCTTTCTTGGTATCGTTTCGTTACTGTCGAAAATTCATGCAATTCAAGCCTTACAAATTCGGATGACTCCTCTCTTCAATCAGGCTCTCTCTCTAGCCGCAAGTTGTTTAGGCCTCTCATCTCAGCCTCAATTTGTTTGATTGATCTTCGAATAGGAAAAACAAGCCTTCCCCAGCCAGATTGGTCGGTCGAATATCTGCTTAACCGTGTGTCGGAAACGCACTTGAAGCTGATTCGATTCTTATTTTTCTTGATCTTTGAGTAGGATCAAATGGAACTACCAGGAGATCTGGCGGAAGTTTCATGTCATGGAGCTAGGCTGTGGCATGCATAACTGGAGCTACTTCTGGATCGGCGAACAAGGTACTACTGCACAACAATCTTCAGATGCCTTGAAACGGATGTTCCAATCTCGCGGCAGCAATCTCTGGTCACAAGTTCTTTACGGTTCAAAATTTATCTTTTGGTCTTCAAATGCCGGCGGGCACGCTCTCTCTCTCTCTCTCTCTCTGTTATCTGAACTCCGAAGTTCTCTCCTCAGACTCTCTTATCTTATCCTCCTTCTCTCGTCATTGCATCAGCTCGCTATGCATCTCCCTTATCTCTTTACTGCACATCTAATAGCCCTGCATGAAAATCTTCTTCAGAATGGACAATCCTTGAATGGTTATTGCCCACTCAGCATGACTGTGAACTTGACGTTGTATCGTCGTATCTTGACTTGGATCTGCTGACATTCTTGTTTGCGTGACTTTCTGACGTCCGATGTAACGTACTATTTCAGAAACTCGGGGGGAGGATGGAACGTATGCCAGCCGTGCCAGTCAGATAGCGCCGAGTTAACAAAAACTCTCCTGTAAACCAAGACGACTTACGTGGCAGGCGGCCAATGTAGCGTATGGGACGAAGAGGGGGTCTTTCCTAGCCGTCTTGCTAAGGTCCTCTCATGTCTGGATGCTTGGGTCTCACATCCTAGCAT